ATTTTTTAGACATTATGAATGATCGTAAATTTTTAAGTATAAAGTATAATTGAAACCACTAATTTATTCCACTAATTTCGAGGTTCTGAATTAGATTTTAACACTTTTTATGACACTGTATAGGGACTTCCATTTTCGTGTGTTTTATGAGAATTGTCATTTATTCGTTTTATCAGTATTATCCTTAAAGATGCGGTTTTCACATCACTGTGGTACTTTTTTATGAAACTGAAGATTCTACACAAAAATTTGTTCTTACCATCGTACTTGCACACAGGACGTTTTTTAGATTGTTGTATTTTTCAACCTCCTACGTATCTTGATTATCGTGTAACTTTTCGAAAAGATGAAAACTGTGTCCCGTAGAGTTTTTCACGTAGAATCCAGTGCTGTGACTATTTTTTCACTGGAAAGTGTCGTTTTAAAATATAACTCAAATAACCTATGTTTTTTTTTACGGAAAAACCTGTATAATATATTCTATTTAAAAAAATGGTTTAGGTCAAATTTCGAGAATGACAGCTCCCCGCGTAAAACTGCAAAAGTTGCACCACTGAGCTCTGCGTATAAAACTCTATGTGAGTCAATTTTTACCTTTTCGATAAGTTATAAGATAACCGAGATACAAGGGTAGTAAAAAAATAAAACAATTTTAAATTCGCCCTGTATTTCGAAACTAAAAGGGCTAGGATAAATCTGTGTGTAGCCTCTTAGTTTCATAAAAAAGTAGCTTATTATGGTGATGTGAAAACAGCATCTTTTTACCTCTACTCATAAACTAGAAACCCCATAACATAGGCTGTGGTATTATTAAGCCAAATAAAATATATTTTAGGTGGGCCACCGCTCTTTTGTGACTCACTTAATTGTCCAGAAAACACCAAAATTTGCCAGAAAGCGTCAGAAACGTCAGAGGACAAGCAACATCTCAATGTCAAGATCACTTGTAAGGATGTCGAAGGTATGAACATAAAAAATTAGACGATATATATCTTAAAAATATACACTTATAAATTTCTTTTCTAGGGAAAATAATTACTACATTTAATAAAACTGAAAGAAATCATTACCCTCAAAATACATATTATAAGGGTGTTGAATTTAAAGGGAGATATGATTTAGGAGTGTCTTCAAGCATAAAATCGTCTAATAAAATATCAATCTGATGAATGAAATAATTAATATATATATATATATATATATATATATATATATATATATATATATATATATATATATATATATATATATATATATATATATATATATATATATATATATGGTATAGTAATCTATTAAATTAGTATAGTTCTAAGAAACTGTATAATACTTATCTATGGGTGTTTCTCAAAAATAACTTACCAGTATAACTTTTTTATTTTTTTAGATGATAAAACGAAATTTTGTATATTAGTATATGACATAAATCGGGATTGATTGACTTTATTCAATTAGTTTCGGTCGTTTTGCTGTTTCACCGGAAATGACTAATACAACTGATTTTTTTTCAAATGGTACCCTCAGTATTTTTTTACTTTATTTGATAGAAAATGACATTCTGAATAGAATGACATATCATATGTTAATTTTTGACATTCTTAATTAAACAAATTCGAAATTTCAATCTAGAGTGCCATGGCTGTGTTAAAACCATTACTTTTTATTCAAAGAGATTTAGAAAAATAGATTTGATCTTTCAATGTTTTTCGTGTTTTGTTTGGTTTGGTTTAATTTTTTTCTGGCCAGTTAAAAGATGCCCAAATCGTATTTTTAATCATAACCCAATTTTTTCAAATAAAACGAAAGTGGCTTTCAAAAGAATTTTTTTTTTCTAATAATTTGCTATCACATACTTGGTATTTCGAGTCAAATTGTCGTTACATTTATTTCCATGGCACTCTAGAGTGAAATTTAAAATGCTATTTTTTTTTAATTGAAAATGTCAAAAGTTGACCTATGATATCATCATATATGTCATTCTATTCAGAACATCATTTTCTATCATATAAAGTAAAAAATCCGAGGGTACAATTTAAAAATCAAAAGTTGTTGTCATTTCCGGTGAAACAAGAAGTGTCCGACAATAATAATAATTATTGTAAACGTCAATCAATCCTGATTTTTGTTCTATACTAACATACCAAATCTCGTTTTTTATCTGAAAAAATAAAAAAGCTATAGGGGGTGAGGCACTTTTGAGAAACACCCGGTGTAGAAGAAATAAATATCTATTGTTCAGAGTACCCTTCAGTATATCAGTTTAAAAAAAGATCATTATACTTGCAAATGTTGTTTTTCATAGCTTCATGTCATCTTTTATCCTTTTCAAAACCAAATCAGTACCACAAAGTGTAAGTATAAAAAAATAACATGTAAGTTTTTTTTTCATAACAATTGTATCCATATTATATCTAAACTATTGCTGATTTTAATTTTCTCTAAGCCTTTGCTTTGTGTCTATGATGGATCCAACACAAGAAAAATATTTAGAGGAAAAATGTTTACTGGTAGATAACCAGGATAATGTAGTAGGTGAAGCAACTAAAAGACAGTGTCATCTAGTGAGTGAAAATGGAGATATTCTACTGCACAGGGCATTCAGTGTTTTTCTGTTCAACAGCAAAGGAGAATTGCTGATTCAAAAAAGATCCCATACGAAAATTACTTACCCCAACAAGTAAGATAAGACCTTATTTTATATACTTGGGCCTCTTACTATTAGTATAATTAATTTTAAAAAGATAATTTTAAGTTAAAAATTATAAAGATATATTTAAAAAATAACATCCTTTAGTATCAAAATTAATTTATACAGGGTAGTCCGCATTGTATTCGTGAAACTTCGGCAGCAATAATAGCTAAAAATAAGTAAAAAAGTTCGTATAAATGTATGTCTTAAAATGGTTTGTTTTAGAGATACAGGGTGTAGAAGTTTCATTTTTCCAGATAATTTCTGAACTAACCACTACAGACCTTTTCGTCCGTACCTGATATTGCACTAGTGACTGAAACAATATACATTTCCAAACTCCATTTAAAAAATTTGTCTTGGTAAAAATCGCTACGATTATTCTCAGAATATTTGGAATCGAAATCATCAATATACATGTTACCATTTACAAAAATTTAACATGTTGTAGATAGTTATTAGACTTAAATAATAAATTTAGAAATGTTTTTGTGCCAAAGAAAGAAACTGTTTTATCATACTTTTTTCAACAAAAAAAATTTCATTAATTTAAAAAAAATAAAATTTCCAAATTTATCATTTTAGTCTAATAACTATCCAGCCAACAGGTTTATTTTTTGTCAATGATGACGTGATTGATAATTTCCATTCCAAATATCTTGAGAAGGGTTGCTCGCAGCAATTTTTACTAGGTGACCTTTTTTATGTAGAAAATAGCTACAAGTAGGAGTCATATTGACATGGGAACCAAATTTCTCGTCTCAAAAAAACACTCAGACACCAGTTTTGATAGAAATATCGACTTTAGTTCAGAAGTTATCGAGACAAAATCGAAATAAAAACGAAACTTCTGTGCCCTGTATCTCCGAAACGAAGCATTTAAGATATAAATTTATATAAACGTTTTTACTTATATTTAGCTGCAGAATATGCTGCGGACGTTTCCAGAATATAATTTGGACCACCTTGTATAACGCTCTCTATTTAATTTCAGATATACCAATTCATGTTGCAGTCACCCCTTAGCAGACATCGCAGAAGAAATAGAATCTAAAGATATTGTAGGAATAAAAAAAGCAGCCTTAAGAAAACTCAATCATGAGCTAGGAATAGAACCAGATAAACTCTCACTAGATGACCTCATCTACGTCACTAGAATTCACTACAAAGACTCAGGAGATGGTACTTTTGGCGAACACGAAATTGACTACATCATTTTCATCAAGAAGGATCTGGATGTCAAACCAAATCCTAATGAGGTGTCAGATGCGATATACGTCAGTTTGAACAGATTCGATCAGTTTTTGAGTGAAGTTGGCGATGATGAGTTGACTCCTTGGTTCAAGATGATTTTTAAAAAGAAATTGTTGGCTTTGTGGTGGAAAAACTTGGATTACATTGATAAATATATGGATCATAAGAATATACTTAAGTTAGATATGAACGACAATTTATAATATTCTTAAATAAATCAGTTTCGCAAACTTCAGATATCCCTAACAGACTATAAAACTTTTAAACGCGGATTGCTTCATTCAAAACAAAATTTAAAAATTAAAGCTTAGAATAATATAGAACTGGAACCTGGATGTAGGTTTATAAAGCTTGATGTAACTCCGGACCCGACTCTTTTAAAATACTGGATCTACCCATCTCCACCACCTAAGTATATTAAATCTATGTCGCACGATATATTTTTAGCTTTATAGCTTCACGCAAGCCATATCTCCTCTTCTTTTACTATTATGTTTATCTACCGATTTCAGCCCCGGATCTAAGGGGGGGCAAACCGGGGCGCCTGCCCCGGGCCCCAGTGTCAGGAGGCGCCAAAATCATAATATAATATGGTTGAAAATCAAAAAAATTACTCCACAAAGCGCCTAGTATGCACCTTACGTTCTTCTATCAAGTATTCATTTAATTTTAAAACGTCCAGTTAGTCTAAACTGTCCCGTTTACGAAAAATGCCTAAAATATATATATATATATATATATATATATATATATATATATATATATATATATATATATATATATATATATATATATATATATATATATATATATATATATATATATATATATATATATATATATCTTTCCCATACATGTTTGTTGAATGTAAAAAGTAACGAATATACTTAAACAAACATAAAAGAAGTGCAGGTTATGAGAATGTATTGGAAAAATTAAAAGAAATAAAAGAAGATGCTACTTTGGGATATTTAATTACAATTTTTGGGAGGATTCCTCATCTTCGTCTAAAAAAACAACCACACTTATGTCACACTATTGTCATTTTTGGCAAGCCATGGCTTTCAGGGCGAACAATACAGAAAAAACACAAGACAAAATCAACTAGGAAACGATTTATTGTACGACAGACAGTAAACTAGTAGTATAAGTTTGTGGTGCATCCAATCTGTCGTTCAAACGGTCGAATCAAATTTGTGTTGTACAACCTGCAGTACGATAAATCGTATAATGTCTGGCCCGTTTAAAAGTTTATTTGATATGAACTGTATATTTAGATATATGTAAGTTTTTAAAATTAATTTATTTCAAAGGCTGGCGCTGGAGAGAGGGGGCGCTACTATCAATTTTTTGCCCCGGTTGAAAAAAATTGTAGATCCGGGGCTGACCGATTACTAATACACTATTATAACTAATAGCGTTCTTTAGAAATTATATCACCAGCAAGGTCAAGATCTAATCCGAATTCTTATTTATGTACGCTAGAGTCTCCATTTAATTATATAACTAAGTGTATCGCCGCTGAGTGACTTTTAGCAGCTGCATACCTAATATTCCATCAAAAATATAAAATGTAAAATGAAGTCAAGTCTAGCAACGCGGTTGTACTACAAAAAATTATGAGGTCTCATAGATATTGTAGATTGTATTGAAAGGGGGAAGTTAATCACCACTGCTTTATGGATCTATTGCGCCCCCCTATCTTGAGTTATAACTCATACAGTTTCGGGGCTTTGACAAAATTCAGTATCGGAGACGGTTTTACAGCGGTTAGTTTTCTATCTCCGGTATCAGTCGTGATCAAGTTTATAACACGAATGGTTGTCGTATCGGCGCACTCAGTAATGAGGTTTTCTGGTTTTCCCGATGTTCCACACAGAATCTGCATTTACCGTTGGTTCTGAGCTTCAATCTAATGAGACGTTCATTGAGGAGTTTTTAACAGGACACTGTTAAAAACCCCGTGACAATCCGAAAATTGTTCTTACTTAAATCAGGGAAAATCTTAGATTTTTCTTTGTCGTAAGTCCTGAGAGATTTCTTCGTTTGGAGGATTCCCATTCCAGGTTACGAATGGAGTCTTCCAGGTTCTTGAATCCTGCTGTAAGTTGCTTTCTACTTGAGAAGCAGAACAGTTCATGTTCAGTAAATGAAGTGTTCGCTCCTTTTCTAGCTAGATCGATTTTTCATTATCTTCTATTCATTGGTGGGCTGGTACCCAGAGTAGAGGAACTTTATTTTTATTGCCTAATTTGTTCAGCTTCTCTAGGCATTCTTTAACCAACTTCGAATTCATGGTTACTGAGTTGATCGGTCTTAAGGCTGCTTGACTATCACAAAAGATTTGCAAGCACTAAACAAAAGACTATTCTTTAGAACTACTACTACTTTTCTTCTACTGATTTTTTTTATTTATTTGAAAATTTCAAGTTGTTGTTTTTGAAGGTGATGACAATTATTATAATTTACTTTACAGGATATTCCAATGTATAGGTTCAGTTAGTGGAGTGTTCGCTCCTTTGCTTGCTAGATCGTTTGCTTTTTCATTACTATTCTATCCCTTGGTGGGCTGGCCCCCGGGCTGGCTGGACACCCAGAGTAGGAATAGGAATATTTTTTTTGCTCAATTTGTTCAGTTTCTCTAAACATTCTTTGACCAACTTCGAATTGATGGTTACTGAGTTGATCGCAACTTAAGGCTGCTTGGCTATCGGATAAGATTTCTTCGGCCTATTTCTTTTTCCCGATAATTCATATCTAAAATAATTCTTATGATGCTAACTTAGTTAGCTAAGCAGTCGTCCAGTGTTGAAAATATAGTGTTTTGTCGTATAGCGGTGAACTAGTGTTTTAATTTGCTCTTGTAGCGCCAAAGCTTTCAAAAAATATCTATTATTTATCGCGGATGAAATCCATTTAGAGGAGGCGATGCAAAATCTCCTAATAATAATGATGTTAACATCTCTAAATTTTACGACTGATTATATATTGAATTATTAAAGAAACACGAAAGAGCCGAAAGTGGTAATTATGAACAAATTTATTGTTGGGCTTATTGTTATTTTTCTTTTATTTTCGCACTCCTTAGGTAGGTAAGACCAAGCACAAATCATTATAGATAAATGATAATTATTAGCTTGAGAAACATAAGGCGTTTCAGAACATGTTTTGACAAATAATATACTATTAATTTTCTTTATTAACTGGCAAATTCTATTTTATCTTCAAGTTCTTCTTAAAATATTATTTTTAAACTTTTTACTATATATTCATTCTTCATTTTAGCTGTATTTTACTGTTTTAACCGACCCTGTCCAGCAAACACCCAAGACTGTGACAGAGATTTTGAAATACTAAATTTAACTGCAGCAGAAATAAGGATTCATTGTCTGAATGATGCAGGTATTGTACAATACGATCGAAAAAAAAGGCGTCGAAGACGGCTGGGGAATGACAACGAATGATGATTTTGGCGAGGTCAAGCCACGGACGCCCATTTACGTGGCCCGTACTCTTCTTTATTTTTTAATGGCGCTTACTGCCAGCTGGCCTTAAGAAGGTTGTAATTTACTTTTATATTGAGTAAAAATGATTTTTAAATGGTGTAGTTTAAAATTCGAGAAAAAATATTTTTTTGAACATACATTTGTGTGTCTGGATACGTTCTATCTTTTTTTAATATTTCTATTATTAGTGCTAATTTTTGACAAGTTTTATGACAATTTCTAGTTACTGACTTCTAGGGCTTGACCTCGCCAAAATTATCCTTGATTGTCAATCTTTGACGCGGTTATACGGTATTTATAATAAGGGAGCCCAATCAGGCTAAATGGGGATTTACTCGAGCGTCGTAAATAGTTTTGTGTTGTGAAAATTAAATGCCAAAAAAAAGAAGAGCCTGTACAGATTTTCAAAAATGTTAAAAAAAAGTAACAAAGAAATACTTTCAAATATTAAATAGTGCAGCGTATTTCTGATAACGGAGGGATATTAATCTCCCGGTTTGCATAATAGGGATAACGGTACGAAGGAATAGAAAATGAGAAGAGAAAAAATGTATTCGAGTGGCGTCAGATATTCAAAAGTAAACACTAAAGAAGCTCCTGTTCAAAAACTGACTATTTGGACGCGAGCAAAACTTACAGCACAACAGATTTTTTAAAAATTCATAATTCTGAGCGCCCCACTATTGATGATATTTTAGCTACTTCCGCTTGTGGAAATCGACATATGAATGATTTCATTCAAAAATAAAGGTAAATATTTTGCAACTTTATGATTCTACCATTTTCCATGCCACAACAATTTAAGTCAGATTATTAAAATGCACATTTTTCTGCAGGTAACGCGGTGCAAGATTTCTCCCCTTATGTTAATCTGCCGCGCTTGAGTAAATCCCCAAATCCCCGCTTCGACTCCCCTAATATAAATAACAGAATAACTATGTGGGGGACGCAGAAATTCTTGTAAATGATCCTAAGTCGACTGGCTGTCTAATAAATAGGCTGTGATCTATAAAAATCTTCTTACTTTTCATCCTTCAGAAAAATTAAATGTATTGCAAAAAGTTAAATTAAAATTGTTATTAAAAATATTTGCACTTTTTTGCATATTTTTTAAATTATAAAAGTTCTTTTTACTCTGGTAACCACTGAAGTATCAAATTACCACAGCTAAAAACTCTTGTTCTACGATGTCTTATTTGTTGTACATTTTACTTGTTACACTGTATAAATATTCATAAAGCTCTATACGTTCATCTTATTTATATGTAAAATTATGTGCATCCATCTATTTTGTATTGTATATTCTTAAAAATTTCTTTTTACATGAAGCTTATTGACATGCAGCTGTTCAATAGAATTTTCGAACTTTTAAGATAGACATCTCACGATTACAATAACAATGCGAGTATGCTTGTAATTTGAGCTTGTAGATGCCTTATATACAGTGTGTTTTTTAAATTACAAATCCTATTTTGCAGGAGAAAAACTACATACTCATGTCTTGAAAAAGTTCATAAAATTAATTAAATTAAACGATGCCATAAAGAAAGAAGACAACAATAATGATGAAGACCATGAAATTTAACATTAAATATTACATTATCAATAATAAATTTAGTTTTTAAATAATAATATAGTTCTTTTTTATGTATATTGGCGAGCATCCATAAATTATGTGAAGCGTTCTTGAGTAAAAAATTTGATCCCCTCCCTCCCTTGATTTTTTCAATGGACGCCCGCTTATCTCAAGTAAACCTTGTTCTATATTCTTTAAAATTAACTGTTACAAGTTCATAAAAATAAGCAATCAATAATAATTAGGTACATCTTTATCAACAAAGATATTAAAATCATTCTTATTAATGTATATCTGAACAGATTTAACCCTATGACACTTTTAATCGCTTATTTGTAACGAGTTCATGAAATGTTTGCCAATCGTACTACTATACAGGGGATTTCTGGATGAATCTGTATTTATTGTTGTTAGAGATATTCTTCACATATTACACATATTATATTTTTTATAATTAAAAATAGATAATAACAACATCATCGTTTTATTTGTCATCATAATAATGTTTTTAATTGAATTTAATAATACTGCTATCATTATAAAGAAATTGAAAATATATTTTGGGACACCCTGTATACCTAAATATTTATAACAGCTTGATGTCGAAACGACAATTATCAGTAATACACGAGAGAAATAAACTTCTAAAGCTTCACTAATTCAGGCATTTTTATTTTTTCTGGAAAATTTAACGGTGAGCCTGTACAAAAATTAGAAAAATGTTTAAAAAAAATTCGTTGTTAATATTACTGATTGCTTTTGGACTTGTGGCGTTGTCACAGGAATACGGTAAGTAATAAAAATAATTGTTTTTAGAATTAAGCCAATCAATTTTTTTTTCAAAAACTGTATTGAGTACTAAAGGATCACTAAAGTTTGTCGACATTGTTCCCATTCTCATACTTTTGTTCTTTTTATAAGCCACCAATATGTTTTTTTTTCAATCATTTGTCGCCACTTTGATTAGTTATTGTTTATCCTGAAGTGAATGATCATGCAATCCAAATAAATTTTATTTTACCGTTAAGCTTCATCCGGAACCACAAAATTAGTGGAATAAGTTAATGATTTCAATTATACCTTAAGTTTGTTCTTCTAATTTCAATGTCTACTTGAAACTAATGTCATTTTGGCCTTTAATTTAATCCGTCAAAAGAAATTGTGGTTAGATTTTTTTTTTGTTGAAACCACTAATTCCAATAATTTCGTTCTGAATGAAGGTTTTTTGATTCAGGTTTCTGTTTGAATTTTTCTTCGCATAATATTGAAAATGATACTAATACCGTATGATCGAAAAAACGTTGTTAAATACGGCTGGGGAGTGAAAATCGGTGATAATTTTGGCTCTAGACCTCGTTTACTAAAAACTGACATAAAACATGTCAAAAATGAACAATAATTATAGAAAATTAAAAAAGAATATAACATTTCCAGACACACAAATATATTTCCCAAATATATTTTTTCGCGATTAAAATTCGCGAAGAAATATTTTTACATCACTTAAAAATAAATTTTTTACACAATACAAAAATAAAATACAACCATCTTAAGGCCAACTAGCAGTGAGTGCCATTAAAAAATAAAGAAGAGTACGGGCCAAGTAAATGACATCTATTAGTGCCTGACCTCGCCAAAATCATTATCGATAGTCATTTCCCAGCAGTCTTCGACGCCGTTTTTTTTATCGATCGTATGGTATAAATAATTTTTTGTGAGTTCTGTGATTTCTTCAGCATTTTAGTGTATATATAATTAAATGTGGAAGTAATGATCGAATATTTTTTATATAAATAAAATAATAACATTCAGATGCCCTCGTAATTTTTAGTACCTCCACCTACTTGTTTTGGTCAAGCGTGCCCTTCAAGCACCACCAATTGCAAGCAAGACAAAAAATCAAGCAGCGACAAAAGACGTATTGAAGTCACTATATCGTGTTTAGATGACTATGGTAAGGTTACTAAAAAGGAACAGATTTAATTCACATTTTTAATTCATAAGAAGTCTAGGAAATCTTAAAATACAGCTGAATCTATTTTTTATACTTTTTTCAGATTCAACGCTCAAAGATTATTACTTTGAGGAACCCAGCAATTTTGATCCTCATACCAACTACCATAACACCAAGTACGAGTCTGTAAATGAGGGTTATTCTAGCCCTCAGAGAGCCCAACGTCTAGATTTGACACCCTACCATGGAAGACTAGTAGATTTCTTTTAAAAAAATTGCACCCACTAACTGAAAATGTGTGTCGAATGATAAAATACCAGATGCATTGTAAATTAATTATTTATTAAATAAACTGTTTAAATGTTTTAATAGCTTTGGTTTTTGGATTCTTCTACCCATGTACGAAAAAGAATTAAGAAGCACTAAAGTCATTCACGACGTCAGTGATGGCGAACCTATATGCAAGATTTTTAACTGACTCACGATTGCTAGGCAACTATTTGTTTGTTTGCGCGGATTTATTTAGATATTCTAATTTGTGTGGATAATTTATTTTCTATTTGTATTTTTTAAAGCACTGCATTAACACATAATCATTTTTTTTCTGGGATTTGCGCCCAACGTTGGGCGCCAAATATATTTTTATGTTATTCTACATCACACAAAACTTAGTTAATATCCTCTGGATACAGTTGTCTTTCGCCCTCGTTCAAAAAACATCCCATGGTCCTGAATAATAAATAGACACCTAACATTCTTTCTGTCTGTTCATCCAAGTAGCGCCAACACAGTAAAATGTTCCTTTGCATTGGTCAAGTTCTCCAAACACACAGAGCTGCAATCATGTAAAAGCAGCTTCTCTTGTATAAGCTTCTAGTGGAATGATGTTTAGAAAAACGTTTAAACATATCACACCACCCCCCATCGTTCCAAACATCGATAATTTTCTTCAGTTTTTACTTGAAGGAGACTCATGAGTCTTCCATGTTTGGACGGCATCGTAAAGGTGCTGGTAAGGTCTGAACCTCTTACGTTTACCAACATAGAAAATTGCTAACATAAACACTTCCCACGTGTGACGCGAGAATCCAGAAGAAAGTAAGTGAACGAGCTCTTGTTCACTCCTTCACGCCATTTTGGCTTTGAAGGGTCTGATTTGCTGAATTGTGCACTGAGTTGAGCTTCCAGAGTTTTGTAGTTTTCTAGGCTGACGCTCCACTCGGCCTTGCGCAATGTCTTTTCCAATTCCAAAAAGTAAACTCGTTTTTTTTTACTGCACTTGCTGGTTCCTTCCTCGCAGTGTGGGGGGTGCTTTTTCAACTGGTACAGTATTTCTTAAGGTTTTGACTTAGACGTATTAACTTAATATGTATTAACTGTTTGAAGCAACCAGGAATAAGAAACTATACTTGTCGTATGTAAAATTTTATATTCTTTTAAGATATATTTTAGTTTGATCTGAAATGTTATTAGTTTGAGGAGTCCTATTTCGGGTAATTCTTGTCTAAAGTTAATTATACAATACAAGTTTTCCTATTTACTGTTAAAATAATATTAATAGCTGCCTGGAAGCTAAATTTTAGAGAAATATAAAAAATTGTATACCTAAACATTTTGAATATGTAAAGCACTCCCATGAAAAATATTGAAAAGTTTAAATGCAATCTGAGTGATATAATTACAATTTTATATATTATTATTTTTGGTCTATTCAAAAAGAAAATTGAACGATGGGGGAGGGGATGCGAGATTATAAATGCCGAATAAATTATTTAAAGGCATATGGAATGTTTTAAAAGGTTTAAAATATAAAACTTTCGTTTTTTAGTTATGCAATGTTGATTGCTAAAATACCTTTGATGTTACAACAGCAAAATAAGATAGTAATCCAACACAATACACCAAAACACTTTACTTTTGCATTGGATGCGCGTTTCGCTAACCAGCAGATGATTAAATTGAAATTAGGAAAAATGTTTTGGTGTATTGTGGTGCATAGAAAAATGACAAAAAAATTACTATTTTTTAAATTTACAAGTTTTCAAGGCTTTTAAAAAAGCAGTAAATATGGACGTAAAATTTTAAAAATTTCAGTATTTGTAGGAAATTTTATGTAGATTTAGAATATATAATGACTTAAAGGTTTAAGTGTTTTGGTTTTGTAAAAAACGTATTTTTTCGACTCCTTGTTTTAGAATGATTTTTTTTGGTTGCTAAAATGTTACATACAGGTTATACTGAACTCGTAAGGACAAAATAGTCTACATTTTCGTATTCCACACCTTTTAATTGGCAAATGAGAGTAGCTTGTGATATCGGTGTCATGACGAAAATCGCCAAATCTTATGAGATATTACGATATAATGATAATAAATAAGTTGTGATTTAGTATTGTGTTGCTATTTGTAGATCGTACTTACCTCTTTTGAGACCGAGCTTGAGTTGTAGTGTACCAGGGACGCGCCAGACAGAAGCTTTTTGGGTAGGGATAGCAACGATTCTCGCCATCCTAAAAAATAAAAATAAAAATTTTGTTACTTTGTATATGTATGTGTATATTAAGTCGTACATAGAGATCCATTATTTTTAAATTAAAATATTTGGTAAAGAATATTCAAAGTTGTAAGGTCAATTTAACCTCTATTAATATAATTCTTAAATGCTTTTGGTTTGGTTTCTATTTAACACTGTTTTTCTGTTTTTATATAAACCCTAAAGATAAATATCTCAAATAAACATCGGGAAAAACAATGTTTCCCCAAGAACAGTTAACCTAATAGGACTGTTCATTCAGCCGAAGGTGTCTGCCAGGTGCATGCAAAAACTCTTCACTTTGTGACGTCATTGTAGTCCTTGTCATGATAGTGTGTGTATTATTGGTTGCCGTATGCAAAACAATCATTATATAGTTTATTTATTTAAACATCTGATATGTATGCAGTAGAGAAAATTAACTGTATAAATCGTATTAGATATTCGCATAATGCATTTTTAAGAACAGCAGTTCCCAGCATCACCTTTTGCAGCCATTATTTTTAGATTACTTCCGTATTTTGCTTTAAATTAATTAATAAACAATATCGTAGGCACTTAGTAAGCACTTAGTAACAATCCACAGCACAAAATTAACGTATTTATAAACTCTATAGCTCTAAAAACTTTAAAAACACCTTTTTCACATTTAAAATCGACAAAATAATTAACTCAAAATTTCTCAGCTGATATTTTTATTACATGGTACAAAGAATACAAGGTATGATCGATAGCGGCTCCAATTTCGTTCATTTCGCGCATACCACCTGTGACGTCACTAGGAAAATAATGAATAAATAAAAAATAAAGAAAGTTGACAGGAGATCTGCATTTTTTGGGGTTATGGTTAAGAATTGTTTATTTTTAAGACTTTTTACTTCGTTTAATTTAATAATTACTAAAACCAGCAGTTTCAAAAATATATTTAAAAATAATAATTATCTATTAACATGGATTTGGACCATAATAGGTAAGAATACTAAATTTATTTCTATATTCAGTATAAAATTGTTTATTAGGTTTTTATTTTGCGATGTTTATGGTAAATAATTTTTATGTTCATTGCCTCTGAATTCACATGAGGACAGAGATGAGGATATCTATGGAAAAGTAACCACAAGAGGAATTGTTACATCATTTAAAAAATGTTGGGAATTATATGTTTCCCTTCGAAAAGTAGAAAATGCCAATGCAGATGAATGTATTGTAATTGTGATAGAAGTAATTCCAAGGGTGAAGTTTATTATAATTAGTGACCTGTGCTTCTTTTTATATGTAGATGTTTCAGGTTTTGAGAATAAATCGGTTGAACGAAACCCAAAATTTAGAGGAAGTATTTGCATACCCAGAATATGCCCATCAAGGATTATATAGCTCAAATTTCCTTTGATCGTAGGCAATTATTCAATGCAAATTAACTTTTTAAGTGACTGAAATATTAAATACTTTACAATATGGTATATCACTGTAAAAATATATTACTTTTAGGTACAATTAGGGCCAGATACATTTCAAAAAGTAGAATATTATTTTATATTAAATGAGGTATTGTACCAACAATCAATTTATCTTAATACCGCAGATTAAAAAATAACAGAATAAATAGTTCTTTCTTTTATACTACAAAAATAAACTATAGAATACAACAGTATTTAAAAAAAAGTCATGTCCCGCCGAGATCGAACTCCGGTCTCGCCTAGTCTAACTCCTTACGCGCACTGCTTGCTCCACAGTAACTTTTGCTTAGCGATAATTCAATGACGGTATATAAACAAAAAAACAGGTTTATAACAATACCTTGACGATTTGAATTGGCGCGCGGACCAATAGCGCCTGTTATCACCTGTGACGTAGCGACCAACCTGCGCAATATCATACCTTGTATTCTTTGTACCATGTTTTTATTAGTTTCCCATAGGCAACCAATAGTACACACTATCATGACAAGAACTACAATGACGTCACAACTGTCAGTTGAAGCGCGGGAAGAGGCGAACGCACGTCTTATGAGAATGAGCAATCCTATTAGTTTACCGTTCTTGATGTTTCCCCTTGTTTTTTTTCTTGAAAGATTCACTTTTTCTCAAAAATATTCCCGAGATATAGAGACTTTTCAAGTTCCAGGTCAACGAAGCCATCGTACGGTATAATATTTCTTCCTATACCTTCTAAAAATCGTAACAAAACGCACTCTCAACCCCGATGACATCACCTTATCAAGTATGCACCCCCTTCCATAGTTTCAACCCTTGTACGAGACCAATCTACCCCATCTAACGAGCGTACGGTCAATTTGGCCGCAGTTTTTCGTGTTTCCGTGACGTATCGACCTAATCTCCTTCCTCTACGGTGGTTCTCCAACCCCCCAGCAACCCCCGCAAGGCCTCAATCGAACTTTCAAAGACCCCCCTTGCCTGGACGTCTATATCAGGTGGTGAAATCTTGTCTGTGTCGCTTGTGCCGTATTAAGGTTGATTCTCACTATACCTTCCGTTTCCATTTCATATCCGTTCCGTATTTTTTATTGTATTGACGCTATACGTAAGCTTCCCTTCCGTATCAGTTCCATACTTTTTATTGTACAATTCATATCATTACGAAAGTTTTATTTTAAAAATTTGTATCTTTTGAAAAAGGTAATAGATTTAATTAAGAGGCGAAAGAATAAATAAATATCAGCAATATTTTAACAGAGCTGGTACAAATGTAAGAACTTGACAACGCTGTTTCCGATACGCCAAAAAAATGTATGGTAGGAAAGGATATGGAACGGAAGGGAAACGGAACGGAGAGTGTGCATTGTTCTATTCATTTACATGATATAATATTTTATGTAAAC